GGAAACAACAAATAGAAGTGATATAAAAGGAAACAACAAATAGAAGTGATATCAAAGGAAACAAAAAACATCTATATTATAAAAAAGAGTAAAACCTCAGAGGCAGGTAAAGACCTGAACAGACTCGGGCGTGCGTCAGTCCTCAGAGGTCCGCGGGTACCGGATTAGAGTTGAAGCGGGCGCCCGCGGGGCACGTCCGTGCAAAGATCAATTTTTATGACCACGTACGTGCACTCGGTGTCGCACAATAAACTGCCCGGCGACGGACTGTTTTGTTTGTGACACCAGTGTATTAAATTCCTCTTCTTCATCCCTGATGTGGTTTAGCGGCCTTGTCTTTTGTGTTTTTGCTGAAAGGCAGAGATCTCTTCCTCCTCCGCTGACTCCATGACTGAAACTGAGAGAAATGAAGGAATTTGTCACGAGCGAATTAAACTCAGGTCCAGCGTGGCTGCAGGAGGGTCTGGAGGTCCTGGTGGGCTGGTCTGATGTGTGGGCTGCAGGACCAGCGCGCCATGTTTTTTTATTTTTTAGATCTTTTATTAACAACATATAAATACAGAACACCGCTGCCACTTGCTGCAAGCTCTTGTTTTTTTGGCGACCTGTCATTCAATCCAGTAGGCGTGTCAGCAAATGACCATTCAGCGACCTCAGTTTGTCCAGAAGGTAAACGCCCCTCGTCTGCGAAGCTGCTCTGCAGCTGCTCAGGGTGGACGCTCGAGTATGAAGTGTGAACCCTCTGTGGACAGAGCGCACAGTGTCCATGCGGACTGAGGACCGCCCGAGTCTGTGGGAGCCTTAAGGAGCTAGAGCTTGTGTGTGAGATTGAGCAGTACCAACTAGAAGGAGTTGGTCTCACCTCGGTCTGGAACCCAACTCCTGGAGAGATGCTATACTCACTCCTACTTAAGAGTTGCCCTGGGTGAGAGGTGTCGGGTGGGTGTGGGAATGCTCACAAGCCCCCACCTGAAGGCCTCGCTGTTGGAGTGTTCCCGGGTGAGCGAGAGGGTTGACTTCAGGTTGTAGGAGAGAAGGCTCTGACTCTTGTTTGTGCTTATCCGCCAAACATCAGTTCTGATTCCTGTGCCTTTCTGGAGTCTGCATGGTGTCATAGAAGGGGTGCCATGTGGTGATCCCCTCTTTCTATGGGTGATTTCAGTGACCAGGTGTGTAATGACGTCATCTGGAAGGGCGTGATTTGGAGGAACGGCCTTCCAGATCTAAAGTTGAACTGGTGTTTGCTTGTTGGACTTTTGTTGTCCATAATGAACACCATGTTGGAGCATAGGGTGGTTTACTAGTGTACTTTGTACCAGGCCACCTTAGATCAAAGGTCAATGATCACTTTTGTAATCCTACCAGCGGACCTGCAGCCCTAGGTCTTGGACACTCGGGTGAAGAGAGGGGCAAGGCTGTCAGCTGATCACCACTTGGTGGGGAGTTGGATCCAATAGTGGGGTAGGTTGCCCAACAGACCAGGTAAACCCAAATCACTCTGGCTCCACCTTTGCACCTAATGATGGATAAAACTGCCCCTTCAATCACCAGGATCCATCGTTTTGTGCTGCCTTGGACAAGAGTTTGTGTCAAAGGGTGTCAGCAAAGGTCAAAGGTCAAGTTTACAAGACAGTGGTGAGACCAGCTATGTTGTATGGTCTGGAGACAGAGACATGGACAAAAAGACAGGAGACAGAACTGGAAGTAGCAGAAATGAAGATGTTGAGGTTCTTCTTAGGAGAGACAAGGATGGAGAAGATCAGGAATGAGATCATCAGAGGTACAGCACAGGTTGAACAACTGGGAGATGAAGTTAGAGAGGACACACTGAGATGGTTTGGACATGTCCAGAGGAGGGACAGTGGTTTGGACATGTCCAGAGGAGGGACAGCGGGTTGGACATGTCCAGAGGAGGGACAGTGGTTTGGACATGTCCAGAGGAGGGACAGTGGCCTGGGCACAGTCCTCAGTGGAACTTGAACCAGTGTTTCTTCTTGGTGTCTCCTCTGACAGTGTTGTGTTTTGTTCAGGGGGTAAAGGTCGCTGTATCAAGCACAACCAGCAGTGGTACACTCCCACAGAGTTCGAGTGTTTGGCAGGAAGAGCGAGCAGCAAAGACTGGAAGAGGAGCATCAGATACGCCGGCAGACCTCTGCTCTGCCTCATTCAGGTACCGGACCGGACCTCGCCCTGCAGTCTAACTCGTTTCCTGTTGACTTTCTTCTTTGTGCTTTTTTATCTATTCCTACATCACAACAGCTCTCTGCTCCACACAGAGGGCTGTGGTAGCTTGGTGGTCTGGGGTTGTGTCAGGAAGGACATCAAACAATTGTCAAGACTTCGTTAGTTCACTGGAGACCTGAAGAAGGAGCAGCCGAAAGAAGAAAAACAAAAAAAAATACACAACAGCTGTCAGCTCAGTCTTCAATACAGACTGTTTCACATAGAAATACACTGACATCTCATTGTTTCCTTTAAAACATTGTTCTTTACAACACCTGCTTCAAAATACTTATTTATTTGTACAAGGTTGGGGTCACAAATCAAGGTCAAAGGTTATACAAGATCTTGTCAGGATCATTGCTATAGTGTGTACAGGCGTGTATTGTGCCGTTCAGTTTCCTTCCAACACTTTTACCATTTAACTACTGTCCTGTTCCATTTTCCTTTAGCTACTTTAGCTCATTTTGCTCTTTGTACTTATTTGTCTTTTAATTTTGTCACTTCACATTCAGCTTCTTCATCAGATTTCATTCAGTGTTCATGTTGCAGAAAATCTGCTCGTACAGAGCAGCTTGTTTTCTGATTCTGAGCAAAACGTCGCCTTTTATTCTGCTGCACTGTCCTTGGTTTAACACGCCCTGTGTGTTGGGGCGTGTTAAACCTTACACGTGTGTGTGTTGGAGCGTGTTAAAGCTTACACCGGTGTGTGTGTTGGGGTGTGTTAAACCTTACACATGTGTGTGTTGGGGCATGTTAAAGCTTACACATGTGTGTGTTTGGGGCGTGTTAAACCTTACACATGTGTGTGTTGGGGCATGTTAAAGCTTACACATGTGTGTGTTTGGGGCGTGTTAAACCTTACACATGTGTGTGTTGGGCCGTGTTAAAGCTTACACATGTGTATGTTGGGGCGTGTTAAAACTTACATCTGTGTGTGTGTGTTGGGGCGTGTTAAACCTTACATATGTGTGTTGGGGCGTGTTAAAGCTTACGTGTGTGTGTGTGTTGGGGCGTGTTAAAGCGTACATGTGTGTGCTGGGGCGTCTTAAAGCTTACATGTGTGTTGGGGCGTGTTAAAGCTTACATGTGTGTGTGTTGGGGCGTGTTAAAGCTTACATGTGTGTGTGTTGGGGCGTGTTAAAGCTTATGTGTGTGTGTGTTGGGGCATGTAAAAGCTTACATGTGTGTGTGTTGGGGCGTGTTAAAGCTTACATGTGTGTGTGTTGGGGCATGTAAAAGCTTACATGTGTGTGTGTTGGGGCGTGTTAAAGCTTACATGTGTGTGTGTGTTGGGGTGTGTTAAAGCTTACATGTGTGTGTGTTGGGGCGTGTTAAAGCTTACATGTGTGTGTGTGTTGGGGCGTGTTAAAGCTTACATGTGTGTGTTGGGGGCTCATAGGAGCGGATCCTGAACCCTCACGCTGCCTCCTGTACCTGTGCCGCCTGCTGTGATGATCTGACCCCGGTGAGTGGACCCTCCTCTGCTCAGTCTGCAGTAAAAGATCAAATCTGTCGTTGTCTCATTAATTAATTAATTAAATCTACTTTTTATATATTTGAACCTTTTTGTGTTCGTTACCTGCTTCCTTGTAAAAGTCTCCAAAGGAGGGAGATTCCATCGCGCCAGAGGATGTCACAATGGTAAATATTGATCTTTGTGTCTGTGATGTCACTTCCTCCTGTATTCAGTGGCTCGTTTGCAGCTTTGGTCACTGCGTCTCCAGATTTACAGCCGTTTACGTGGTTCCTGAAGTCGATTCATTCAAGATGGCCGCCACAACTAAGCAGCTTTAGCACAAGAATGAGTTTAACTCAGCCAGTTCTACAGATGTTGAGGTGTGGTAGTAGCTGAGCATTAACACCTGCACATTGTGCAAAATGTTCAAATGAACATGGTGTCTGTTAGCAAAATATCTTATGACCCAGCAGGCAGAATTTGATGGCATAAAGGGTGGCGGGTGATATGCATTCCTTCCAGTAACCTAGTTTTATGGGTTACTGGTGACATTGGGCTTTAGTTTGATGCTGGGGCAGCTGCTGGTTTTATTTTTCATTTGATCAGCTTTAAATTGACCGAGCGCTGCTGGTTCTTGTTCTCTCATCCAGACCGGTCCAGTTCGTCTCTTCGTCCCATACAAGAGACGGAAGAAGGACATTGAGCCTCCTGTCGTCCCCTTAAAGAAGGAGCTTCCTGCTACCAAGGACATCCAGCTGGGTCCAGGGACCACATGTAGGTCACATGACCTGAGTAACGTGTGATTGGACGAGCGTGGCCTCGGTCTGAGTCATGTCTCCAGAGTCTACGCTCTTTCACGGCCCGCACAAATAAACTCACAGCTCCTAAAGTAGCTCGTGTGTCTTCGTCCAACAGTTACGGTGTCCCCGTCAGGACAGTTTACCACCTCTGGCACCCTGACCTTTGACCGGGCTCCAGCAGGGGACGTCGCCACAGCCGCCATCATCTCAGATGGCGCAGCGCAGAGCGACGTGTTCGCCAGCACCACAGGTATGGACCTCCCGTTGTCTGCTGGTTCTGGACACATGCAGGGCAGAAGACAACACGTAACCCTGTCTCAGAAAGCCTTTTTCACTGAAGAACTCTTTTTTATATATTGCTTAAAAGTATCGTTGCCTCAAATGATTGGGGTGTCCAAAGATTAATCTATGGTGGCCAAGGCCACCATTGTCCCCCCCCCAGTTCCTCCGCTGCACCTGGTGGTGGATATAATGTCTCCCTCCTGTCTCCGTGGCTCTGCCTCAAAGAATAAAATCAAACCTCCCTGTTCTTCTCCACAGTTCAACTTCTACACACGTGGATCGTGCACAAAAAACATTCAGTTTACATCCAGTCCAGAAAAACACTCGTCTCCAAAACTACAAACATTCACAGTTCACGTCCCTCAGAGACGGGACATCAGCTGTTTCTCCAGCAGAGGGAGTCAGAACCACTTCCTGTCTCTCAGAACTTGGAAAGCTGAAAAACTCATTTGTTTCAAAATCAAATCTCTCGTGAGAATCTTGTTAATGTGTTTATAACGTGTGAAAAACAACAAATATGTTTACAACCTTTAAAGAATCTTTTTTTTTAAACTCCTTTGTTTGGTTAAAGAAGTTAAAATGTATTTTTTAAAAGACAGAAACTAAACTAGATGTCAGTTAATTCATATTTTATGAGAAAAATGTTTAACTTTGACAAAACAACAACAAAAATCTAATTGTTTAATAAAATGTTGTGAAGCCGATGACCTCGCTGACACTTTAAACTGATTATAAATGTTTTTCTGAGGAGTCAAACGTCTGAAGAGACGATCGCTGTCACACAACGAGGACAAAACCTGAACACGAGAACATTTGGTAGAAAAATAAAAAAGTCTTTTCGTTCTAGAGTTTTATGAGTCGGGACCTAATGAAACTTTCTGAACTTTACTTTTGTAAAATGATTCATAACTTCACTTTAGCTCTTCTGAAACACAGATTTGATAAAGTTGTGCTAATTTTACCTACTAGCTAGCCTTTTGCTACTTTTATTTCTTAATCTTTTTCTATTTTTAGCTACTGTTTTGATACATTAGCTTTTAGCTAGTCTTTAGCTACATTTTGCTTTTAGGCGACAATTTACTACTTTTACCTTTTGCTACTTTCAGCATTTTTTGCTAGCCTTTTGCTACTTTTAGCTACTAGCTAGCCTTTTGCTACTTTTATTTCTTAATATTTTCTGCTTTTAGCTAGTCTTCAGCTACATTTTGCATTTGGGTGGTAATTTACCTAGCTTTGTTGCTACTTTTAGCAGTTAGCTATCTTTTGCTACTTAATTTGCTGTGCTTAGCTTTTAGCTTATTCTGCTTGTCTTGTTTAACTCATTCAGTTTCAGCTGTTTCGGTGGTCCTTTAGCTACGTTGTCTGTGATCATGCTGTTGCTCCTACATTTCCCACCAGCCCTCAGATGTTTCTCTGCTCCGTTCCTCAGTGCTGACGGCGTTACCGGCGCTGGCCGTGGCTCCTCAGCCGATACAAGCTAAAGTAGAGGTGGCGTCTTCGTCCGCGGCTCTGGTGACGGCGCTGGAGGTGAGCTCCGTGGGCTGCGGAGCGCCGGCGCTGAGCAACGGGCTGAAGAACACCTGGGTTCACCTGGAGGAGCTGGCGAACACGCTGCTGAACAACGTCCAGCAGCTGAAGGCTCTGATCGAGCAGGCCAGGAACGCTGCAGAGGAGAGCACCGGGGTCAGAGGTCAGGGGGGCAGGAAGGAGGTGAGGCAGCGTGCCGTCATCAGAAAGTCCTGCTCAGTCAGTGGCCTAACGTCTGTTCTGTTTTCAGTGTGGCCTCGGGCAGACGCTTCAGAACCAGATCTCGTTTCAACAGCCGGACCCCTCAGGGACCAAGAGGCCCTCTGACATCACAGAGATCATCATGAACGTATGAAAACAAACCTTCACGTTCGTTTCAGTCCTTCCAGTCTGGGCTCCTCATTCTGACCTGCTTGGCTCTGCAGCAGATGTGCGTGAACTGCGGCCGGACGGCGATGAGCGAATGCACCGGCTGTCACAAAGTCAACTACTGCTCCACGTTCTGCCAGAGGAAGGTGAGACCTGCACCAACGCTCCACAGCATCCATCATGAAGGCTCCAGCATCTCCTGAAGGGGTGCACCTCAGCAGAGCTTCACGGTGCACGACGGGAGGTTCGCACACACAAAGTGAAACGGTTCATGCTGACGGTCATGTGACTGATCAAAGATGGCTGCTGGTCCCGTCAGTGGGTTGTGGCCCGACCTTTGGACCTGGAGACAGAGTCAGACATCTTTGGTGGTCGACCCACAGCTGCTGGAACTGGTCCTCGGGGTCCGGCTCATCGGTCTAATTCATATTTCCTTGTGTTGTTTTTATTTGTAGGACTGGAAGGATCATCAGCACTCGTGCTGTCAGTCAGCAGGGGGCGTGGCCGTTCAGGAGGAGGAGCCAATCACAGCCATGGACATGGACAAAGTGAAGTGAGGATGGAGCTTCCTGCAGGTCGTGGTGTTTTCAGAGCCAGCTCTGCTGTGGTTGAATGTGTTGGAGTGGACAGTTCATCATCATCCAGCATCTTCTGTAGAAGAAGAGGTGTCCTCCTCTCCACGCACACGTCTGGTTCAATGAAGACCAAGGAAAACAGGTCTGAGTGAAACCTGAAACTTCTGAACTGGGTTCCAGCTGCTCAGCTGTCGGCCATGTTTAAACTTCTGAGACAGGGCGCCTCCCAAAACCGTTTTAATGTTGGGGGGCCATGTGTGGGCGGACACAGGAAACCAAAAGATTTGTGTTGTGTCATGTATCAGTCATTTGGATCATGGATGCTCCAACATGATCGCTTTGTTTTTATAACAGTGACAATAAACTATTGATTAACTGATTAATTTGTCAAATACAACAAAACAGGAGTCACTTACCTTCTGGTGCACAAACGTCTTCGTCTTTTTCCTGCAGCTGCATGCTCCAAACCACTGTCCCTCCTCTGGACATGTCCAAACCACTGTCCCTC